ATATAGTATTTATATTTTTTGTGGCACTAGGAATTGAACTCATGACCCCATGCTTGCCAGGCTGGTGCTGTGCCACTGAGTTATATCCCTGGCCTATGTTCTGATATTTTATTCTATGACTTACAAGCAGTAAAGATATACTGCTACTGAGAAGACTGGAGATGTAGCTCAACAGTAATCCCAGCACAAAAAGGCTGAGGCAAGAGGATCACTGCAAGTCTGAGGCCAGCCGAGGCTACAAAGTGAGTTCAAATCCAACCTGAACTGCACAGCAAAACCTTGTTTCAAAAAGACAAAAACAGAAGAAGTATATAGTAAAAGATCTAAATTAATTTTGAAAGTGATGAGCACTTTTTTTTAGGTCAATGGGAAATAATTTTAATAAAAGAACTGTACATTTTCTTCTCCCATATTTTACTTTGAATTAGGAAATGATACTGTAATCCATTTTACTATAAGTAAAATATTACAAAATATTTCCATGAAAATATTAAAAATAACTCAAGCACAAAAAAGATGAAACTTTCTGAGAAATCTCTATTCCAGGGCCCACAGCACACAAGAAGAGTCAAAATGCATAAGTAAGATGAACCTGGTCATAAATTTCCGAACAACTGGAAAAGGGGAAGAAATGGGAAGAAAACAGCAGCAGGAAGAGAACGGATGTTAGCAGCACTGCTTCAGGGACCACTCTTCCAGAAGCAATACCCCTCTCAGGTGCAGGAAATTCCAAACAAGGCTAAGCTCTAAATATTCCTCAAACAGGGGCCGGGGAGATGGCTCAGTGGAATAAGCGCTTCCCTGGCAAGTGCAAGGGTCTGAGTTCAATCCCCAGTTCTGCCCAAAAAAGAAATAAAATAAAATAAAATATTCCTCGAACACCACACCCTGACAGTGGAAGTGGCTCTTTCACTAGTCTTACTACACGGGTCTTGCTCCCATCAGCTGCTGGAACACAAGCCTGTTTTGCCACCAACAGCTGTCACAGCAGGCTTTCCATCTCCTTCATGAAAGGGGGCTGCTATGGCAACAGGAACAGCAGAATCATCCTCTGACTTTCTTTAGGGAGCAGCAGGGGCCTCTTTATTTTCCCGACGTACCTTCAGTGCAGTGGGCACAAATCAAGTAACTCTGCCTTGGGATTGGTGAATTGTAGCTTGGCACTGATGGTCACTATGGCTTTTTTCTCAATGGTGGCTGCACTCATGTCATCCGCCTTGGGGTGCTGAATCAAGTTGGGGGGAACACTCAGCATCCCTGGGTTCAGCAGGGAAGCTGGCAGAAAAAGCCCAGGAAGGGCAGGTCCGCCGGGAGGAAGCTGAGGTGCGCACAGGTCTGGAGGCACTGGGGGAGGTAGCCTGGGTGGGAGGGCCCTGTGGAGGGGGGCCAGGAGGCATCCCTAGAGGAGGGTCAGGGGGTTGACCTGATTGTGGTCCTGGGGGCACAAGTTGGGAGAGGCTGAGTCCTAGCATTCCAGGTGGCAAGAATGGAGGGGTGCCGGGAGGTAGGCCAGGAGGGAGGCCTGTGGGTGGTCCTGGAGGGCACAGAGGCGGGGTGGGTGGGGACCCAAAAGAGGTCCTCGCATGGGCGGAGCCTGAATCTGAGGAGGAGGATTGGACTGTGGGGGCACCTGCTGCTGGGAGGAAGCTGAGGCTGCACCCTCGTGAGCCTTCTTTGGGCTGCTTCCGTGACTGTTTCTCTGCTTCAGAATCCTCTGAATCCTCATCATCATCATCTGAAAATTCCTCCACTTCACGACCTTCCTCAGGGATTTCACAGCATCATGGCTTGAAGAGGCGTCAGTTCCTTCACGTTCTTTTTCTTGATTTCCCAGGCATATCTGCAAACAGCACACTCAGACCTGACTTCTTTTCCTCGGTGTTGTCTAGCTCATTATCGTCTAGGTGCATAAACCCGTCCCCATCACTTTCTTCATCTGACCTATCACTGTCATCAGTGCTGTCATCATGCTTGTTCTGATCCACGTCCTCAGGGTAGCCGTCATCTTCACTGGTGCTGGAAACATCATCATCATTACTGTGCTGTGCAAGATCAGGGCTCTATAACATGTCTTCATCTCACCTATGAGGAGGAAGATGAGAAGCAAAGCCCACTTTCTCAGCCCTACATCTGTAAGAGCTGGGGAGGTGGACCAGGTGGAGGACCTGGAGGTTTCATGCCAGGGAGGAAACCTGGAACACCGTGTCCAAGAAAAGGATGGAAACTATTCGAGATGGAGGTCCATAGCCTGGGGTCTTCTTTAGGATGGAGGGTGGCTGGGCACCAGAAGTGCAATGTCCTGGATTAAGATGTTGAAAGGAGCATGTGGCATATCTGGCAAAGGAATACTCTACTTCTACATGCTGAGCATTCTTGACAGCAACACAAGTACTGGCTAAGTTGAGCCCTTTTCTGTTTGTATTCTACTTCTAGCTTTCTCAATTCTTTATAAATATCCGGATTCTCTTTTTTATAAAGTCATAGGATACAAAGGTTTCCCGAAGCTTTTTATGTTTTTCAGTACTTTCTCATTAAACTGTGGTGGTTGTACTGGGTTAAACTCCATTTCATCCCACTTCTCCATGTCCCGGATGATCTGTTTGGGATCTTTCATCTTCAAAACTTCAGCTCGAATCATCACGCATTGTTTTTGTTTTTCAATTCTCTCTTCTGGATTTCCTTTCAAGCTTGGTCCGTAGGGTTCATAAATTTTCCACTCTTGGTAGATGATGTTGATCTCCGCCCCAGATTGATAATCTACAATGATTCACTTATTCTTAGGAAAAAAAACCCCAACTCACTTCTGCTGGGATCCTAGAACTTCTAGGGGTGTGGAGGGGACGATTCCCAGCCTCCTTTCCTCTGCAGGGGCCTTCACCTCTGTTTCTCAGTCAAACACCCCATCTCTGCCATCTGAAATTTCAGCACTTCTTAATAAATACAAAGCATTGATAATTTCACATCACCTTTAAATAGTAGAGGCTAAAAGGTTTCTTAAAAGTTAAGTATACCCCACATCACATTCCATGCTAGGGAGACTGAAAACAGGAGGATCACTACGAGTTGGAGGTGTATGGTAAGACCCTTTACCAAATACATAAAAAAAAAAAAAAAAAAGTTTAAGTACACACTCTTCTCCACTCTTAGGGAATGATAATGTAGTGTTAAACAATTTTATTCTATAAAACTTAAACTATCAAAAAACCCACAAAAAACTTAAACTATCATTTCATGTGTAACTATTTCTAAGCTGACTGTACAATGAAGAGTAACTGAAATTAGGAAAATGAGATTCACAAAATACGAGTATTTGAAATAAAATATCCTTTCAAAGGAACTATGATGGGGAGCGCCTTGGACTTCCAGCTACTATCACGTGTTGTGTGTGGCTATGGCTTGCTTGGCTGCTGCTCGCTCCCAGCTGACCAAGACAGGCTTATCTGTATGTACCCTGCTTATTTAAATAAGAAAACCATCACAGAGGGGAAGTGGATCCTGATAGGTAAGGCTGTCAAACATCCTACAGCTACCGAGATTCAAGATGGATGCTCAGCAGTTAGACTTAAAGCAGTTATTAAGAAAAATAAGATGTACTCTAGGGAATGGAATCGTGACATTCAATACAGGGGCAGAGTCTAAGTCTAGCTGAAACAAGAAGATGGCAGCCTTTGTCTGGGGGAATTTCCATCACATAAGTCAGTAATGTATGTAGCAGAAATGATACCTAAGTGAAAATCCAGGACACAGAAAATGAGGTGGTGACCCAAATCTCTTCAGCAAGGAGAGGGAAGTAAAAAAGGAAAAGGAAAGAAGAAAAAGCCATCAGCTGTGAGCATCAAGGGTGCAACTCCTCTTCAGGGACATGGTGGAGGCATCTTTGTCACTTTTCGTTTGCATCAATTGCCTGATCTACACATTTGTGCCATCTTCATCATCAGAGTAGACCGTAAAATGAGTCCATCACAGTAGACCACAGTGGAAATTTACAACTAGCTTTTATGAGGTATAAAAGAAAAAATATTTCTTTCAGAAGAGTTTTTATAGAAAAGTATTTTTAAATGGACAATGGGCTTCCAGAAGTTATTGAAAATCTATCTGTCCTCTGTGTAAGTCATGTATTTCAGATAAATAAGTTTAGTAAGATTTGAAATACACATTTAGGTCACCTTTTAATTAAAATTTCACTTATTTATTTTTTAAAATATATTCTGCTATTTATTACATTTATTTATTGTGTGTGTGTGTGTGTGTGTGTGTGTGTGTGGCCAGCTCAGCCCACCAGGGGGCGTGGCTGGCTGCCATGTGGTGCTGGGAGATCTAACCGTGGTCCCTGTGCTTCTGTCAAGCTTGTTCCAAGCAGGTGCTTTAGACCGCTGAGCCATCTCTCCAGCCCAATTAAAATTTTAAACTGCAAAAAAAACCCCTATGATTAAGCTCATAAAAGCTGGCAGCCATAAAACATAGATCAAGATGAAAAGATTCATCCTGTTCCCAAAAGAGGAGTCTTCTGTATAAGTAAAAAGCTAGATTTGAGAAAACAACCCTTCATCACAGACAAAAGACATAACTGGACAAAAGCAGGCCTGCAGTTTTGTATGCATCCCAATGTGGAATGGGTGAGCACTGATCTTTAAGACTTAAGAGTGGGATGGAGGGATTAGCAGTAATGTAGCATGGTGGGTTGGGTGGCATCCAGAGGCAGAATAATTACTTTGTACTCTCCTTCCCTGCATACAGGGCACCAGAATTTTGTGGGGTGTGGGGATCAGGGATAAAAGACATACTACAAAGTGAGTTCAAGGCCAGCCTGAAATTCATAGTGAGACGCTGTCTCAAAAAGACAACAACAACAACAAATAAGAAAATATCTAGGAAAACTAATGTAACTCCAAAATAAAACAAACAAAAAAAACCCCTAGAAAACAAAATAGTTGTTCAGCCTTGGCAAACACAAGCAGCAAAATCTGAAGGAAGCAAACTAACCTTTGTGCAAACTACTATTATTGGAATGCCCAGGTTATGTGTAAGTGTATCTGCACCCAGTGGTAAAACTACACTGTCATCTTTGTCTTCCTGTGATGTGGTGCTTCTTCTCTGAGGAGAAGCTGGGAATTCTTCTCCTGGCTCCACATATTCTTGGAAGTCTCTAATCACTGAAAATCAAAGTAAACGCAGTTTAGTAACTGGTTTATTTTAGCAGGTAAACTATTCCTGCCACAGTCTACAAACATGTTTCACTCAAGTTCATACACAGTCTTATGTAAGGCACAAAAAAGGTTTTGAGAAATCTATTTCAAAAGAATATACAAACATTGAACCCACAATAATAATTCTGAGGCATGCTACTGCATTGATGGCTCCAGGTGTGTGGTACTATGGAGGTCTCTATAAAAGACTTTGGGTAAGTCTAATATTTGGCTCTTTACCTTTTCTGAAAGAAAGGCATAGAAAGGATGAAGAAAAATAAATGTGGAAGAAAAAAGATCTCACAATTTAAAACATGGAGCTAGATTGTTTTCTAATATTAACTTCTTTTCTCCAAGTTCTTTATTTGGGTCTCCTTTTACTTAGGCTCAGTCTTGGGAGCATATTCATTCTTTAAGCCTCAAACATTAATGAGCGATTAAACTTTTAGAAGTCTCTTTGAAGATTGTTAAAACAATCATTTAAAAAGTTTGACTCTAATTCTATGAATTTTCAAGGACACAATAAGTGATGTACACATATGGGAATTTCCATTATAAGACTTTTTCATGTTTAAAAGTAAAACAAAAAAAATCTTCAAATGAATTAGCCACTGCACAAAATTATAGTAATACGGGCTGGCCAGATAGCTCAGTGGATTAAAGCACCTGCTTAGGCAGATTCAGGGGCTGGGGTTCGATCACCAGCATGCCATGCCGGCCCCACTCCCAGGGCGTGCTGAGATAGGCAAATGAGACTGGGTGTGGCGGCGCATCCCTGTAATCCTAGCACTTGGGAGGCTGAAAAACAGGAGGATCAATACAAGTCCGATATGTGTAGTGAGACCCTGTAGACCTTGTACTAAATACGTTAAAAAAAAAAAAAAATCCAAAATTAAAGTGTTACACAAGGAAGCGTGCCACAGAGCCATAAAACACTGGAGTTTTCAAAGAATATTTAATGCTACAGGAAAACTATAACATTAAAAAAGACTGTCAGGGTTCAGGGGATAGCTCAGTTGGAGAGGACTTACCTGATATGCACAAGGCCCTAGGTTCAATCTCTAGCACCAACAACAACAAAAAAAGGGAGGGTGTGTGTGTTTGTATTTCTGCCAAATTCCTAGCTGTACTAAACTGATGCTGCTGGTCTAGGGAGCCACACCTTGAGAACCACTACTCTAACATAAAATTAGATTAAAAAAAAAAAAGGAAAAACAAAACAAAACTCCACAGGCAATGCTTACCAGGGAAAAGAAAGTACAGATTCAAAGTATTTAAACAAACAAACAAAAAGAAGATTTAAACATTTTTCAATGATTATCTTCAATTTTTATTATTTCCTGTAGCTTGTCAATTTCCCCTAACAATTATAAGTTACCAGTAACAAAGCATTTCATTCAAGTATTGTCTCAGGCAAAGTATAACCCTAGCAAATAAATAAAATGTCATTTGTTTACAATCTATCAAAAATAATCCTGTATCACTTTTTCTAATTTTCATGAAAATTCCTAATATGCAAAACATGTACTTTGTAAATAAAAGCACCTTAACATTTTTTTATGTTGTTAACCGTATCTTCAGACATATTTCATTTGACAAAGTTGGTAACAATTACTAATCAGGAAATAAAAATGCTAAAAATGAGCAGTTGAAGATTCAAATTTTTCTCACCCTGAAATATTACTTTTCAAAATGAATACACACAACCTTTTAGAAAGAAAAGGTACCTATACCAGAGTTTATCATTATGTATGTTTCCAACTTAAAACTAGCATATTATTCAAACTGAACTTCAAAAACACTAGTCACATTGTTTCCTTTATCAAATTTATTCAAAGAAAAAATTCCTAATGATTTTTATAATCAGCTATGACATTAGGTATTTTAAATCTGTATTTATATTTTTAGGTTACTTACACTTTTGTTCCATTTCTTTCATTTCTTCAGGAGGAATTTTCAGTTTGTCAACATGTTCTCTAACAACACTTGCCCATTTCTGTAAAGAATCCAAAGCAGTCCAAGGCTTTGACATATCAACAACCAGCATAACTAGAGTGTCCTTCAGAGAAATGGCATCCAGGGAAAATTTAAGGAGCCCTTTATGATACAGGTCTCCATCTAAGATCCATACATTACATCTTGTTTGATCTGTAACAGACAAAAGTTACCAAGGCAATAGGATAAAGTCATCTCATTGTCCAACTAACAATACTACTTGGTATTTCAGGCCATTTCCACAAGAAAGCTCTACTAGCTTTGGTACAGTTCAAGTACTTAGGTTACATCTCCCAATTTAGTAAAGACCTAAAGTGATATGATGAGCAATCAGAATAGAGTATTCTTTACTTTATATTTATTTTCTGTTGTTGTCCTTGTTTTCTTTGAAGCAGTATCTCTTTATGGATAGCTCTGAATTCATTATGTAGCCCAGGGAGGCCTCAAACTCAGCAATCTTGATGCTTCAGCCTCTCAAGTGCTATGATTACAGTGTGCCACTGTTTCCAGCTCTCTACTTCAGATTTTTTAATCCAAAGATAAAAAGACTATATAACATGTTTATCTTTTTTCCATCAGCAGGGAGAACTCTGCATACTCAAGATATTATAGACCAAAATGAGAAGTTTAGTGGTGTATAGAAGAAAAAAATGGCTTATCAGATGAAAATATCTGGACAATAGGTTATATTATTAGAAAATGAGGGTGAGAAAAGGAATCAGTAAATTACTATCCGAGGAAAGAGAAATTGAAAATTAAGATTCTTCAAGAAGGTCAGTATTGGGGCTGGTGAGATGGCTCAGTGGTCTAAAGCACCTACTGAGAACAAGCTTAGCAAAGCACAGGGACCGCGGTTCAATCACCCAGCACCACATGCCAGCCAGCCCCGCCCCCGGGTGGGCTGAGCTGGCCACACACACACAAAATAAATAAAATAAATAAATAAACAAATTTAAAAAAAAAGGTCAGTATTTGCATAAGAATTATCACTACATGAATCCCAATCCCAAATCAATGAAAGTGTACCTAAATATAACTATTTATTGAAGAGTATGAGATTGCAGAACATCTAGTAAAAAATGGCACTCTAGGAGCCGGTGAGATAGCTCTGTGGTCTGCACAAGGACCCCAGTTCGATCCCTGGTACCACATGCCAGTGCTGGCCCCATTCCAAGCCAGCTACTGAAATCAGGTGTGGTGGCGCATGTCTATAACCCCAGCACTGGGAAGGCTAAAACAGGAGGATCACTACGAGTTCCAGCTGCATAGTAAGACCTTGTACCAAATAAATAAAGTAAAAAAATTTTTAAAATGGCACTAAGTAAAGGGTAAACAGAAATTCACCTTAGAACAGACTTCAGAAAACATGAGACACTCACCATCCCTGTCTTCGTCATGTACATTTAAGTACAAATATTCCAATCCTCTTCCTTTCTTATACTCTTCTATTCCTTGAATTTTTCTTATTAAGCTTGTTTTTCCAGCTCCATCTTCACCTAGGTACATAAAAAAAGAGTTTAAATTATAACCTGGAATAGTGGCATTTATATAATCACAACAGTTGGAAGGTTAAAACCAGAGAACCCAACTTTGAGACCCTGATTCAAGATAAAAAGTAAAAAGTGCTGGATATGTAGCTTGGTGGTAGAACACCCTAGGGTTCAATCCCCAGTAATGCAAAATGAATGAATAAATGAAATGTTTTTAATTATAACATGGATAATTTCAGAATTCCTTCCAGTACCATATAAAAACAAGCTAGAACTAGCTTCAACCATACAGATAATTTGATGGAAGATAACTGAAGAAGATAACAGAATCAAAAAGTAAGCCACTCTCACTACCAAGAGTCTCTTCTAGAGACTCTTGCACACTCCTGTTGTTAAGTTTTGCTCTATCCTGTTACAAATGGCTTCCTTGATGGGTAATTTTCAGAGAATGAGGAGATAAAGTAGGGTACAGAAACTTCAGAAAGCACTCAGTTTATGGCATCTCCATTTCATCTATAACCAAAAAGCCTCTCCCTCTTGGCCCTCTGGCAGGAAACTCTCAGATAAAAAGTCATCACTGGCCTGCATCTACCATGGAGGGTGGGAAGTACATCCAGACTAACTGGAATAGGAAACTATAACCTTTACAAGAACCATGAAGCCATAAAAATGTGTAGCATGAGGGAGGGGACACATTGGGGATACTACGGCAAGAAAAAGGGTAGAACAAATGTAGAAAGAACAAAATTTTAAAAATGGACTGAAAAGGTAATAACAGAATGAAATAATGTGATTTAAACTTTACATAAGTGAAAAAAGTTTAAAACGATGGTAGTTATTATATATTCTGGTTAGAGTTTTGTAAATAGTGTGAATATTTAAAGGTTACATGTTATAGTCACACAGACATAGGAGAATTTAAAAATTACTTTCATGTTAACCTAAAATACGTATATTTTATAGGTCTTCTGAATTACCACCTTTACCTGAATGCTACCACAAGACTATAGTGCCCATTTTGAGTAGACGCTTTTCCCCCCCTGTATTTTAGGGAAGGGTCTAGGGGGTATTCAGGGTCTCACTACTAGATTGGACTTGTAGTGATCTGCCTGTTTATAGCCTCCCAAGAGCTGGGATTACAGGCATGCACCACCACACCCAGTCTCAATCGCAGTCTCAGCCTGCCCTGGGGGTGGGGCTGTCACGGCAGGTATAGTACCCATTTTGTATCGGTGTTTATAAGTATGTTGGTGCCAAATGATGGCATAAGTGATCCATTTAGAACAGAGAAGAAATGCACATACAGGCATGCTAAACTAAACAGTGTTCCACAGCATCTAGCATTATATTCAATCACAGTGGCAAGACTAGGTCTTTTCAATGAACCATTTTCTAACACTTTGTAACAATTCATGTAAACATACATTGGCAGCAAAACAAACAAACAAAAAAAGTAATACAACCAGCAGGAACCAAATCATTATGTTAAGGAGCTATTCTCACCCCCCCATCTTAGCATTACTTGCCACAGCTAAGATAAGAAATCAAGATATGACTGTATAAATAAACTGAGACAGACACAATGCAATGTTAGAATCATACAAGGAAGCCCAGTCATTTGCAATAGCATGGATGAACACAGAAGATATTATAAGTGAAATAAGCCAGCCATAAAAAGACAAGTATCACGCAATCTCATTTATATGTAGAATCTAAAGAAATTGATCCTGTACAATAAAAACTACAATAATGGTTCTTGAGGGCTGGAGTGGTGATAGAAGAAATGTTGGTCAAAGGTTACAAAATTTCAGCTAGATAGGAGGAATAAGTTCCCAAGATCTATCGTATAACATGGTGACCATAGTTAATAATATATTGTATTCTGAAAAATGTCAAGAGATAGATTTTAAGCATTGTTACCACAAAATGACAACTATGTCAGGTAATAAACACATAATGAGCTTGATTTAGTTGTTTCATAATGTACATACCTTCCAAAATGTTAGAGTGCACACACACACACGCACCTCCCTCTTCTAAATAGTTAAAAATAATAAAAAGAGCATAGGCTGAGAATGGGGAAATGCAGCTCAATGGAAGAGTATTTGCCAAGTATTCACAGGGTTCTGGTTTCTATCACCAGCACTGAAAAAACAAAAACAAAACAAACCAAAAAAGTAGTAATATCTATGTAAATGACAATGTTACCACGATGCTCCATCACATTTAAAATGAAAATTAGACTCTAATAATGGGAAAATCTTAAATTATTTAGGTGTTTATTGATGTGCCTTAAAAAGGACTTATATAACTACTTATTCTTGTAATCACAGAAAAGTATTCCAAGAAAATCTTCCCATGCATATCATGCTGTTATAATTGAAATATAAATAAATGTTTAATATCATCTTGCAAACTGTATATAGGTGTGTGTAAGACATAGAAAGAAAAATGTATTGGGCAAGAATAATCAGAAAAGGATTATTGAAAGAAATGAATAAGAGAGAAGATCTAAACATGTACCTCAAAATTACAATGTCTAGTTATAAAATGTTCAAATTACTAGCTGTTTTCCACTTTTATTAACAATATTTCTTAATGGAAAATGGAAAGGGTGAGCTGAATAGTATGTGTGAGGAGTTTGATCAACTGGATAATTTGGGATGAATCAATTTGTCTTCTCCAAACCTTTCACGTTATAAAATAAGAATGATGAAATTATTGTTTTATAAATAAATAAAACCATCAAAAAAAGAGAAAAAAAAGTAAAATGAAAATTAGAATAAGTACTTGCCTGGCAAGCTCAAGGTCCTGAGTTCAATCCTGGTATTATAAAAACAAAAAAAAACAAACCCCCCCAAAAAACAAAACACACATACACACACACACACACACACAAAACCTAAAATGAAAATTAAATTAGCCAATGAAAAACAAACTATCTCTAAACTATGAAAACCAACCCAGATGTTTAATTTCAGCAAAATGTTATTTGTTATACCAAGGTCACAAATTTTAATTTGACCAATTCTATAGTTTTATGGCTTTCAATTTATAACTTGTTTTGTTATTTGAGAATAAGCAAAAAATCTTACCTAGTCACCTCAGCAGGCTTATTAAAAGTAAAAAGTAAACTGATCTATCACCTCACCATTAGACCTTACTAATAAAAATAATGTAAAGCAACAAATAATAGTGCATGCCTACAATCCTACTACTTGGGAATTGAGACAGGAGGATTATAAATTCCGTATCAGCCTAGAAAATACATGAAGGCACTGCCTAAAAGGAAAAAAAAAATTGGCTTTACTCTTATGATTACTTTCCTTGAAAGATGTCCTCTAAGTTAAAATAATACCAAATGAATTTTTACTATTTCCTAGAAACAATATTAGATACCACAGTAACCACACCTTATAATAGAAACTTAAAGCAACAATGTTCAGTATTTTTAAAGCTTACTGGCAGTAGTCATGTAGTTATATTTATCCTGACCAAGAAATTACTATGTATCTCTAATTTATTCTAAGTGTTAGAAAGTAAAAGGATATAGCCCAACTGAACCATTCAAAATATCATGTTTGGGGGACCACCCACGCGGGGCCCCCTTCTGTCCCTCTCTTGGACAGGAGCTTTCTTTCCCCCAATGAATATATTCTGCATATATATATATATATATATATATATATATATAGTTGTATATAGTGTATATAGTTTACTCATTCAAGTTAAAAAAATATCTTTATAAGGATCAGAAAATCTCAGGGTTTTGCCGGATAGCTCAGTTGTTTAAAGTGCCACTTGGGCAAATGCAATCAGGTGCATAGGACTGCAGTTCAATTCCCAGCTCCAAAAGCTGCACCAGACATGCCCTTAAGGCAGCCTGAAGTAGCCAAAAAACCAAACAAACAAAAAAACCAAGCAAACAAAACAAAAAAAAACTTTCTCAAATTTTGGGGCTGGCCAAATAGCTCAGCAGATTAAAGTGCCTACAAGCAGGTGCAGGGTCCAGAGGTTTGATCCCCAAGCCTGTCGTGCTGGCCCTGTGCCGGGGTGTGCTGAGATGGCAATTGAGACTGGGCATGGTAGTGTGCACCTGTAATCCCATCTCTTGGGTGGCTGTAAACAAGTGGATCACTACGAGCCCAATCTAGTAGTGAGACTCTGAACACCCTGTAGACCTTTCCCTAAAATACAAAGAAAACAAACAAACAAAAAAGTTATAATAATAAAAGAAAATCTTTTTCTTTTTATTCCTACTTGTTTGTTAATATTTTTATTCCTACTTGTTTGTTAATATTTCAAAAATTTAATTGTGAAAGCTTCTGACTGAAGATTTATACTTGTAGGAAATTTCAAGGATAAGGTAAAGAATAAAAAGTATGGCATTACCTAGATAGAGTTGGTAATTTGGTTATTTCTGATAGTGGTAATTATGAGTAGTTGTGTTGTTTTGTTTGGCTTTTTGAGATAAGGTCACTATATACATATATATATATATATTTATTTTCTTCAGTCTGGCCTTGAACTCTCTATGTAGCCCAGTCTAGCCTCTTAACTCACGGCAATCCTCCTGCTTCAGCTTCCTGAGTGCTGGGATTACAGATGTGCACTACAATTGGGCAGTTTTTGTAAAATAATAAACTGGTAGGCCAGCAGTGGTGGTTCACACCTATAATCCCAGCATTTGGGAGGCTGAGGTAGGAAGATCATCAGAAGTTTAAGGCCAGTCTGTGCTTCAAAAGTGAGTTAGTTCAAGGCCAGTCTGAACTGTATAGTGAGACCCTGTCTCTAAAAAAATGATCTTTTAGTTGATTCAATTTCCAACCTCAAGGTTTTACTCAACAGACTCAGAACAGATTTTGAATGTGAATTTAAGATATCAAAAATACTGTTAATCCTACTTGTATAGGCTCACTATTTTAAGTTACTGCAGCCATCATTAGAATACAGTATTAGGTTTTACTAGATAACTCCAAGTGCAATAGCTCATCTCCATTTACTAT